TGCAGTATGCTATAGAAGGAAGCTTTGCAGAAAATAAGGGACCCAAAAGCCAGTGGCTCCCAAGGGGGTAGCTATACGTAGAGTTAGGACCACAGTATACAGAGGAGCTATTCAACAATGAGGTTCTCAGATGGGAATTAGGGTTCACTCTGTGCAAACAATGCAATAACTGAAACACCACTTCCTTGGGTTCTGAGAAACACAAGCTAAAATAGGAGAATAATCCCAGACTGGAGTCATGGACATTGGGACCACCATCCATATCAAATCTCCCCCTAGGAGGAGAACAGGCAAGTCTGTATAGAGGCCTCCTAGTAACTTGAGGTCAAGACATATCACAGTCAAGATATCTTCCACATTGATCCAGGAGGAAAAAAGGAAAAAAGCAGAGGGGAGGAGGGGGGGGGGGGGGGGGGGGGGGGGTGGGGACGAGAAGCAAGATAGAGGGAGACAAGGAACTGAAGAAGAGGAGAGGCAAATCCTTTCATTTTCTTCTACCTGTCCTGGTATTGGCTGCCCTTAGTACAGAGGTCCACTGTTCAAAAAAGTTTGCCTAGGTTTGTATCTATGTGTTTCTATAGATGCAAACAGTGTAGGAAGACACATCTCTAATGTCTGCATGCAAGGGTGATTCCATAGGATTTGGGAAGAGAAAGGAGCCACCCTGATACCTGGGCCAATGATCATGGCACCAGCGTATACTAGAACATAGGCAAGGAATAAAAGGTAAGGAAGCTGCATACTCAGTAAGTGATTAATACAGCTGCTGAAAGTTCTCAAAGGGTTTTAATTACTTTGATTTCATTGTGTGACCTCTTAGACCTCTTACATGTTGAGGCATCTATTCCTGCAATGTTAGGCAATTAGAAGAATTAAAAAGATTCAATGCACCATAAATCATACAGAGAAAATGAGAATAAATTCCCTAGTATTTTCAAGGTAATAAATAGGAATCAACCATATATAATTGAAGATCAATGTTTTATTAGACACGCTAGAATCTATACATAGATGGAGGCCTTTTTTCAGCTGGAAATTAGTCCCAACACCTCTGGTTCAAGCCCCCTACTCCCTGCTCACCACTATCACCTGTAAACAGAAGTCTGGCTCCCACTGAGCGCAGAATGTGGACAAGGGAGATGCAGGTGCCCGGGGTGCAGTGTGGATGCTGACACCCCCACTGGATGGTCTCCCTGTAAATGAGAGAGGTGGAGCCACCTATAGTGTGCAGGGAGGTACTACAACTGGCTGGGTGCTTCAGATAAATACAGCAACAAAAGTAAGACATGTGGAAGATGGTGAAGCTTTTAAGGAGGGGGAGAGGAGATGGGGGCAGTGGAGGGGGGGGGGGGGGTGCAGAGGTCAGAGCTGAAAAAGGGTGAAAGTAAGATGTGGATGGGGGAAGGAGAGGTGAGCAGCCATGGAAAAGGGCTGAACTCTGCATTCTGTGTGTACCGCACCCCTGAACTCTGCACTCTGTATGCAGCTCAAAGAGAGACGTATAGAAGGAGTGAAAGAAAAAGGAAGGAGGGAAAGAAAGAAAGGAAGGAGGGAAAGAAGGGAAGAGGGAAAGAAGGAAGGAGCGAAGGAAAGAAAGAAAGAAGGATGGAAAGAAGGAAGGAAGGAGGGAAACAGGAGACAGAAAGACATACAGAAAGTGGGAAAGAAAGAAGGAAGGAGGGAAAGAAAGACAGAAAGAAGGAGGGAGAGAAGGGAAGAAGGAAGGAAGGAGAGAAAGAAGGAAGAAGGGAAAGAAAGAGGGAAAGAAAGAGGGAAAGAAGGAAAGAGGGAGAGAAAGAAAGAAAGAAAGAAAGAAAGAAAAAGAAAGAAAGAAAGAAAGAAAGAAAGAAAGAAAGAGAAAGAAAAGGAGGGAGAGAAAGAGGAGGGAAAGAAGGAAGGAGGGAGAGAAAGAAAGAAAGAAAGAAAGAAAGAAAAGAAAGAAAGAAAGAAAGAAAGAAAGAAAGAAAGGAAAGAGGGAAAGAAGGAAGAGGGAGAGAAAGAAAGAAAGAAAAAAAGAAAGAAAGAAAGAAAGAAAGAAAGAAAGAAAGAAAGAAAGAAAGGGGAACAGAAGACACAAGGCTGGCTGGGAGTGTGGGCGGGACAGGAGGAGAGGGCGGGAGAAGGAGGGGCAGCTTTCTTCCTCCTCCTCTGACTGTGGTGGGCACTGGGGATGGCATATTTTGACAGTGCTCCAGGGGATAAGGGGTGGCTGGCCACAGGGGGTGGGGTGGGGGAGCATACAACAGCCCAGGCAGGGCATGCAGAATGCAGGAGATGGATAGGAGAGGTGGCCGGGCGGAACATAGAGGAACTGAGAAATGCACGGTCCTCTATGTGCTGCCTGGCCGCCTCTCCTATCCAGGTGGCCCTGGCTCACGGGGCAAATGCCCGGTGTGCCCTATGGCCAGTTTGGGCCTGTCTTCAGTCTTTTCTTCTCTATATCCATTCAAAGTGAAGAATTTATACAAGGTCTCCCCCTCTTTGCAAAGCAGGGGTTGGGGAGCTGAAGTTGCACTGTATAGAGCTTAGTGAGCCCTGATTGGAGGGAAGGGACACCCCCCCTTCACACAGCACACAGGAACAGAGCTGAGGCTGTCAATCACAGACTGTGTGCTGAAAATCCCTCCTCTGTCACCTTTTTTTCTCTTGGTGTCAGGAAGATGTGTCAGAAGTGACTCATGTTGATAGCAGAGGAAGGAAGCAGCAGACAGAAATGACACGTAGTGCTCCAGATTGAAATAAGAACACACTATAGAGAGATATGCTTTGTTCATATTTAATGTCTGAAATTTTAAACCACTTTAAGAGTGGACATTTAGTGCACCTGAAATTGCATCTAATGAATGTGAATGTCAGGGTCTTAACATGTTAGATTTGCTGCAGTGTGATTCCTAAAGTAGTGCTTGCATTACTTTTTTCTGCAGTTTTGTCACGATTTCACATCCATAGAATCTAATGGAAATCGCACTGCAAATTGCAAGAAATTGTTAAAAATCTTCACAAGTAGCAATAAAGTCTTCTGAAATCGCACCAAAATTGCACATAAATCACGCAATTTTAAATTGCAGTGGTGTGACCGGTGACTTAAAGACTTCCAAATGTCCATTTCTGACTGGTCCTCTTTAAGAACTGCTGAGGTAAGCTCAGTTAGCCTAATCAAAAATGTATGGTTTTCAGTTTTTTTTTCTGGTAATTGTTTTTATGTCCATGGCATACACCATAGTCTACAACATTTATTCCGTGTTTTATTCAATCCCAACTTTATTCTTTACATAAACTTTTATCTATGGCAAGGAGATTATCTAAATACAGTGACCTGCTTGGGGGCCCAAACATCTGATATGGAGAATCGATCCGGTATCTCAGACTGAGACGTTCAGTCGATGCCAGGTAATCTCTACAGTTCTACAATTTCTACTTAGAACTGACATCAAAACAAGAGTAAGTTAGATTCGAAATTCCTCCCTAACAATAGTCCACGGGTCCTGCTAGAAGGTGTTATGGTGCCCATGGCAATCAAATCAGACGGCCTCCCTGTGTGGAGTTATTATGAAGTGACAGTTTGATGCGTGGACACCGCTAGAAGCGTTTACATTTATATGGCAGAAATGAGTCAAATTCCGGAGTTGACTGTTCTTTTATTCACTATGAGGATTCCAAGTATTTATCATTTACACATTTTTTGATTTCCTTTTGCTCCCTGTAAGGCTAGGCTCACACCTATGCAGGTTGCGTTTGAGCGTTTCTGCATTGCATTTTATGTTTTTGCACTTGTGTTTTTTACGTGCTTTTGATGCGTTTTGCGTTTTTGATTTTTTTAAATTTTTTTTTACATTTTTCTTGTTGCTAGGCAGATTTATAACGCAAAATGCATCAAAAACGCGTCAAAAACACATAAAAAATGCAATACATGCTTTTCTGCAGCATTTCCATTGAAGTCTATAGAAACAAAAACGCAACTTTTTGCATTCAAAAAAGTCCCTAACCCTTTCCAAAAAATGCACCAGGTGAAAACGCGGAGATGTGAACATGTCCCATAGGAAATCATGTTAAATCGACTGTACTGCGTTTCTGTAAAATGCTGCAGAAAACGCTCAGGTGTGAACCTGGGGTAATTGTCTTTCTCTGTTCTGTGCACGCTAAACACAGTGAAAAGGGTTGCTCTCTGCTGGTTTATAACCACTTGCAGATTTTGAAAGTAAGAGATATTTAAAATAAAAAAACGACAGGAAAGTTTTTAGGATGTATCTCATATGTCCAGCTGCTCTCCCTCTCCCTCCGCTACTGCCCACTTTCCCTATTACTGCCAATCGCCTTTATTACACATAGAAAAAAAAAAAGTGCAGCGCTAAGAAAAAATATAAAGTTAAATGATCATTCGTCCTGTGTGCAAAATTAGCAATAAGTACTCATGAATAAATAATGACCAATATCTTAAAAATAAAGGTGACAGTCTGTGCAGATATAAATTCTCTGTAAAAATCCAGCGGTGGTGCTCCGAATAGTGTAGTAAAATTACGCACTCACCAGATGCGTAATGTAAGTACGCATTATATAAACCAGCAGAAGTCTCCTTTAAAGGTCTGGTCTGGGGCAGAGATAATCCTCCCTCTGGGTGGGTGGTGTTGTCTGGAAAGTGTAAGGATCCAGCTGGCCAGAGGTCCCTTTAAGGGATGGATGGGTGCAGATGCCTTTGTACAGGAACTCCCTTCTCTGGAATCTTTAGATGGCTGGATCAGGCAGGCTCTATGGATAAATAGCTCCTCAAAGGAGAGTATAAAGAGTACCCATAGTGTAGTAATTCGGAGTAAGTTTATTAAATTAACCACTTCCCGACCGGCCGTTGTATATAAACGGCCGGACGGTGGCAGTGCAGGGTTGGGTGGCCGTTTATAAACGGCCTCCCCGCACCCTGCTTGTGCGCGCTCCCTGGGAGCGTGCAGCACCGCGATCCGGTGCCCGCTGTGTCCTCGGACACAGTGAAACACCGAACGTTGGACGGGACCTCTGTACGAGGTCCCTATCATGTGATCACTGATTGGCCAATCAGTGATCACATGCAAAGTAGTAAGCAAGATGTCACTTGTGACATCATTGTTTACTACATGTGAAATCTGTGAATGATCACAGAGGTCACATGGTACGAGGCTATTCACAACAGCCTTGTACCATGTGACAAGCTGTGACCAATCACAGCTCACTCAGTACTTCTCAATGACTGCAAGAATGCAGACAGAGAGAAAGAGAAATGATTGCTTTTACATCCTATATGGGTGTAAAAGCAATCAGTGTAAAAAAAAAAAAAAAAAAAAAAATCTTCATCACCCCCCACAAGTAGTACAGTGTCACCATGGTGACACTGTACTGCTAGGGTGACAGTATGTAAAAAAAATAAATAAATAAAAAATAATAATATAAAAAAAAATAAAAAGAAATGTTTAAAAATTATAATTTTTGGCGGTTATAAATTAATTTGGATTTTTTTTTTTTTACTGAAAAGATAACGGAATAAATTATGGCCAAGATTTATGATGAAATATTATTTATTTGCAAAATTTTATTAAAAAAAAAAACACTTTTTTTCAAAATTTTTGGACTTTTTCATTTACATAGCAAAAAAAATAAAAATCCCAGCGGTAAATAAATACCACCAAAATAAAGCTTTATCTGTCTCAAAAAAATGGTAAAAAATTAATTTGGGTACAGTGTTGCATGACCACGCAATTGTCATTCAAAAGTGTGATAGCGCTGAAAGCCGAAAATTGCCCTGGACAGGAAGAGGGTAAAAGTGTCCGGACTGGAAGTGGTTAATAAAGGTGAATTTGCAAATTCCAAAATCTAAATTAAAATGATGCAGAGTTAAAATCAAGCAGCGTAAAGTAATGTGATGGTGATAATTGAAAACAATTAATGCTGATCGAATACAATCTTCAAAAATAATTATAATTATAATGACCTAAATCATGTGGAAAATATATATATATATATCTCTTTATACAAATTCATTCAGTGTAAATAATATAAAAATCACGCGTGCATATAGTGAACATACTATAGTGAAACCACAATACAAAAACAACAAAATCAGTGCTCTTAAAGTCCAATATATGCCGATGGTAACACTTAGATGACACACACTCGTGCTGATATTTGTGTGCAAGTGGATATGACAATCCGACCACCGTCTGGATAAGCCTCTCACCTTATAGCTTCGACCCTTGCGGGTCAAAGTACTTTACTGGATCCTTCTCATGGATCCTCCAAGCCTGCTATGCCTCCAAATGGTCGCTCCTCGTCGCACTCAAATCCCTCAAGGGGTCAGCACTCCACTAATGGCTCCTCTCCAGGTAAGATCAAGTGTAGCACCAATCGGTCGCTAGACAGAAGAGCTGGGAACACACAGGGACATTTGTATACAATGGATGGTGTTCATTCATGTCATTAATTGTGTACTTTTGTGTTGGTCACAGTGATCACATGGTACAGACCGGGCCAATCACAGCCCATCTGTACCATGTGATTAGCTGTGGCGAATCACAGCTAATCACAATAGTACACACTGGTAGATCTCATTCAGAAAAAAATGATAATTTATAATAGTAAGTATCACTGTTATAAGCGATCATAGTGTGTAAAAAAAAAAAATAAATAAAATAAATTCTGATCACCTCCTTAGTGTAGTATTATGGTAACACTGTATTGCTCTGGTCACAGTATATTTTAAAAAAAAAATGTAAAAAAAGAAAAAAAATGTATAAAAAAAGGAAAAACATACTTAAAACCATTGAAAAAATTATTATTATTATTTATTATTATTATTTTTTTACATCCTGTCATCAGTCAGTATCCCTGATTACCTCCACACCAGTTATATGATGATGCTGTACTGCACTGGTGACAGTATTTAAAAAAAAATGTGAAAAAGCAAGTGTTTTAATTTTTTCATTTTCCAATTGTGACAAAAAATGACAACTTCCAAAACCTTGTCATGCCTTTTATTAAATACCTTGGACTGTCTGCTTTCCAAAAAGGGGTCATTTGAGGGTAAGTGTACTGTCCTGGCATTTCTGGGCCTCAAGAAATGAGAGGCCATCAGTACATCAGGATTGATCAATTTTCAGACATACTGTATATGCCATAGTTTGCAGACTCTAAACTAGCAATATATCCTGAATTTGGTTATTTTTACGAAAGGAATGTAGCAATACATTTTGACCTAGATTTATGAAGAAAGATTATGTATTTGCTAAATTTTATAACAGAAACTAAGAAAAACTTATTTTTCAAAATGTTTGTTTTTTTTCCATTTATTTAGCAAAAAATAAAAAGCCCAGTGGTGATTACATACCACCAAAAGAAAGCTCTATTTGTGTGAAAAAAATGATAAAAATTTCATATGGGTACAGTGTTCCATGACCGCGCAATTGTCATTCAAAGTGTGACATTGCTGAAAGCTGGCCTGGACAGGAAGAGGGTAAAAGTGTCCAGTATTGAAGTGGTTACATAATGACAATGTTACCACCAAATATACAAGCCCATAGACAAAACGTAAAAATTGCTCTGGTTTATACAGGATATACAGGTATGAGAGATGAAGTCATTAATTAGCTTTAAAAATGGCCACCAACTCACATTTTTTCTGCGTATAATCTTCACACGAGCGAAAAGAGGTATCACCAGAACACCAAGATGCTTATAATAAGCCCTTTAATAGTCACACGAGAACAAAAGCTAAGATTCCGAGTCTCTCTCAGGCTCCTTCATCAGACAATAGTCACCATGTTACTAATACAGGGCTCATCATGAGCACCTTATGTGCTGGTGACACCTCTTTTCACTTGTTCGAAGATCATACGCAGAAAAATCTGGATGTGGGGGAGTTTTTTGCAGTTCTAACACACTTTCTATTCAGTATTGCCACTGCTAGGACAGGAAATGTCATGGTCAGGGGCCAGGCTTGGAGACCAGTATCTATAGCAGTAGAGAAGCTCCCACTGACCAGAAAAATTCATACACAAGCAGGTCACCCTGATGGATGGAGTGAGCTAACCTGAGGTGAGGGATCGTAAGCACTAACTAGTATCCACCAGAGCTCCTGATGGTGGAGATGGACTTTGCTGGGTGTTCGTATCAGGTTGTGGTCCTCAGGATTGCCCCACCAGAAGATGAGTAAGCTGGGGCCCAGGAGAAGATATAGCAAGTAGGGATCAAGCAGAAGCGTAGTAAGTAAGCAAGCCAAAGGTTGGTAACAAGTGGTTGTAGGCTGGGATTAAGCGCACGTGCAGTTGAAGAACTAGCCATCAGTAACGTATGGTAGTGAAGATAATGACAGATACACATTCAAGCAAGATATTGGCTGGAGAGAGCACAATAATCTGACAAACAGGAAGTGCAGAGACGTGGCTTAAATCAGGAAGTTCATGGGAGGAGCAAAGGGTGCAAGGTTCAGTAGAAACAAGAGATCAGACAGGGAGCTGTCCAGAATCTCTGGCAGCCCAGAGAGAAGAGCCACAGCCAGGCACCACAGGGGTTTCAGGTCCAGATCCAGACCCTGACATGAAGTGTGTTATTGAAAGGATCACCAGGTAAAAATGAGGGAAAAGAGCCTGAAAAATAAACCTAATGCAGTCACCACATTTGAGGACTGTTAAGTTGGAATATAATACATTTTTTGTTCTTGGGTTTAGATAACCTGTTTGAAAGCAATGCACAGGCTGGCATGGATGATCACCTTCTAAAACAAATCTAAAGACTTTCAAAGCTGAAACTGAGTAACTGTGAAACACTGCAATGCAGAACTTTCTTTTTTGGAACTCCTAACGGATCCCTCAGATCTTGGGCCACGGGCTTCTTTGTTATAATTCACCAGGAAGAAATGATATTCAATGTACTGACTTATTGATTGGGCACCTAACCATCACACCTCTTTATATGGCCAACAATATGTGGACGTTCCTTCACATGATTGAATTCAGGTGTTTTCAATGAAGGATTTTGTTATACAAAGATGCTTTAGACAATTGTACTCTTCCAACCTTGTAGGAACAGTTTGGGAAAGGACTTTTTCTGTTCGCGAATGACTGTGTCCCTGTGCCCAAATCCAGCTCCAAAAAGCCATGAGTTTGGTGTAAAAGAACTTGGTTTGCCTGCATAGACCTCAATATCAGCATTGTGGTGGCAGGATGTGAAAGTATTAATACTTTTTTATTTAAACAAACTTTGTAACCCAGTGAGAGCTTATTTCTCCCAAGGAGCTAATCAAGCTATCTGCGTGCCTTACTAACATTGCAAATTTTTGTTCTAAAATCCATGTGCCCTTTTTTAAATCTTCAGTGTGTATATATATATATATATATATATATATATATATATATATATATATATAGTAAAAAGTGGCACAACCATCCAATACAGCAAATGGTGACCTAAAAAACAAGAAATATGCCATTCAGAACAAAAGTTCACCAAAAAAGTGGCTCACATGACTATCTGACCCGTTGTAAACAGCTCCCCATAATTCAATTTGTAGCTCATTGTTTATTGTTTATGTGTATTAATGTTTTCATTGGATATACCAGGGGATTGACATTCTGTAATCTCACTGCAAACTTCGACTTCCACCTTCAGGATAAAATGGCCCCACTAGAGATGCAACCTTCTCCACTGATGAGTCTGACTCCTATTACAGCATTCTCTGTCATGTGAAATAAATGAAAAATTCATACAAAATAGTGAACCTCCCTCTGCTTTAGGTGAGACTTGAAAACTGAGACCCAAAGGTTCCACTACTAAAGATGTAAAGAGCCAGAGGGTTATTCAGTCTAGCCACTACTGTACTAAATTGAAAAATCAGGTTGTTGAGTTGACTCCTCATGGGGTATTTTCATTTATAGTGAATTTTCAATTTGTAACAGCTAAATAAGATGCTGCTCCAAGAGATAACAACAAGGTTGCTTTGCAGGCAAGGAAGTCAACACTTTACAACAGATCTAGACGCAATCAATAAAATACCATATAAGTTTAATGTGTTCATGTCATTTTAGAAGTTGCTTTATAATTTTTTGTAAGGATGATGTCACACAGGCTTTAAACTTTTCTTGCTGCAACGTTACGTGGGATAACCTTCCATGTACCTCCCTCACTGGTCCCAATGCTGATAAATCTCCCTTGCCAGTAAAGGGGAAGTAAGGGAGTGACATCTCAATGGCTGGTTAGCGTGGGCTGGTTCTATGAAAACTGGCAAGCAGTCTTTAGGCAAGTGTGGATGTGGTGCACTTCCTCCTGTGGTTGTGACTTCTGTTTTTCTTGGAGCTAGAAATACAGAAGGAAGATGGTTGGTTTATGGAAAGGTACAGTGCGGTGCACTGGTTGCAAAAAACGTGAAATTTATATTGAAGAGAATGCCGAACTACATTCACCCTAGATGGGAGAGCCCTTCTAGGGAAACACTCACAGGTCAGCTCAAATGCAGAGATGTGGCGGGAAGAGATTTGCTGACAGCAGCTGTTTCAGAGCTTGGCAGGTCCAGCCCCAAAGAGGAGGCTTCAGAATGGCCATCTCTAGCATGTCCCTTCTCATCTAGAACCTTTCCTTGCCACTAATCACTTCCCTGACAGGCAGGGTTTCTCTCCCTATGCTAGCCACTTGGAAAATGTTCACCAAAACCTGGGACAGGAACTTATAAAGGATTTGCTGACCCAAGTCGGTCGGTTATATCCAGGGGTCACCTGGATATAACGTGGACAACCGGAAACCATAAAGAAACCTTGTTTCCCTTGACTTCCTCTCCAGCTGTAGTACCACTCAGGTCAATCACCACATACAGTGAAGTAAGCAGACTGCACCTGTCTACAGGTTGTTGGGGTGGAAAGCTACAGACAGGAGGATGAAGTTGTTGTAACTGATACATCATCTATGGACTATGGACTTGGACTGTCTGCTATCATGTCTGTAGGGGTTGCCTTGCTCCAAGAAAGGTACTATAAAGGGTGGTGTTGAGAGGACTTTGTTGCACTGTTTCACCGATATGTGGAATCATACTACGCTACTGGATTTTACAGTAAAATTGTTCAGATGCACCATGTGAACTGATCTGTGTTTTCCGAGAAGCAGTGTGTAGAAACAACATGGTGGTGAACTGGGTTAAAGTAATGTAAGGCTACTGGAAGGAGGAGCAGCCAGCTTGGGATGCGAGCCATGGTAGCTGGGTGACAGAGAGTCCTGATGATGGGGTGTTCCAGGTGTTAAGATGCACTCACCTGGACTCCAATTTATGGTCCTCAATTGCAGCATAGGGCTGGTCCTAGTGACCCAGCCTGGAACTATATAGAGGCAAGAGCTTGCATATTTAATTAATTGGCTCTCTTCCTAGCCTTTTAGTAGAATCTACAAGCAGTGAGTAATGGGTAGAGCAAATGGGAGAGATGGTGCTCCACACTGTTGCTCATGAATGGTCTCCAAGGGGGTTCCAGGATAGGAGACACTGACACATACAGCAGGGTACATAAATGGATGTTTTCTTTATATTTGTGGGGCCCCAAAGTTAAAATGATTTCCGATCAACAGGGGGGCACTAACCCACATGCTTATAAGTCTCTTTGTGAGGCGAGTTGGATCACAATGTGGCACAGCCCTAAATCTGAAGCTTTAATTAGGATAATACCTGGTTAGTTGCCATGAAGGTCCTTA